CAACCAGCTTTTTCAAGGTTATTTAACACTTTCTCCATTATTTTGTCAATACACTCCCAGGATTATCTACAACCCTCCCGTGCATACCACAAAAAACTGTGTTGATTCTAGCTGGCTGACTTCCTTCTTTCTCTCCATCCCTGTTGCTCCCATTGAAAGGTTTCCAGCCACTGCCAAACAGTCAATATACAGTATATCCAGCATGGGGCTGCTGAGGAAGGTTTAACCCAGCAGATGACATTCAGTACAGCGCCATAATCATTGCCTCCTAATGAATTAAATAGCCCTGACATTTCACAGCGCAATGCTTGTCCTTTCCCTGCAACTGCTCTGCTGTTGTAACCCTCCTTTCATGCATTCTGTTGCTCTCTTGTTCTTTCTCTTGAGTTGCTTTTCCACGCGCCTTTTGGCCTCTCGCTATGCCCTCCTCCCCTCCTCCACCCTTCGTTTCTACATCCCCGGCTCCCTCTCTTACTCCTTCTCCCTCGTCCACTCATCGGTATGCGAGTGCACGCCCAGCTGTCTATGCAGGCAGAGCTGGGAGAGAGGGAGGGAGTCACTGTTTAGCAGCAGAGACAGAATCCAGCTGGAGGGTCACAACCCTAAATGACCATCGACACTCACACACGCACACACGCACGCACAGGCACGCTCAATAAGTCATACACCCACACTTCCCTGATGGCAGGTGCAATAGGTCAGATGCCAACAATGTAGGAAAGAGAGAGAGAGACAGACAAAAGGAGAGAGAGAAAGCAGGATTTAGGAATAAGGTCGAGGTGTGCTTGCTGAGCCATAATTGTCCTGTGGTTTGGAGGGACGGTGGCAAGGATGGGTAGGAAAAAAAAGGGAGTAAAGGTGGGGGCATGGCAGAGAGTAGAAGAGGGCTTTTGCAATTGTCAGAAAGTTTCTTTTGTCCTGGAATACAAATAAGGTCCGGATGGATGACTGCCTGGCTGCACTGTTATGGGACAAACAGACAGGTGGACTCATGCTCATGTGAGCAGAGATTCTGGGTCCGTTTGAACTTCTTCTGTTAGGCAAGCGTGCCAGAACAGTGCAAGAAACAGAGTAACAACCATTAATAATTGAAATATTATGAGATCAACAACCATTGCAGAGTTTTTAGATTAAAATTAAAAATAAAGGAATACATCTCCCAATTATAATTCCAGTATATTTGCACATGGTGTGACTGAACTTTCCCCATGTTTTGTTTTATTTATTTGATACATAAAAAGATTTTGTTGAAAATTTAGAGGTTTATTTTACTTGGGGAAATATAATATTCAGTGTTTTGTCTTATTTATAAGATACATAAAACAGTATTTTTGTTTTATTTGATGTTTATTTTACTTAGGAAACACAACATTCATAAATAAGGATGGTCAAATTCCAAGCCAAATTATTATTTTGTTCTCATTTCTTAATGTTGCAGCAAACTCCTGCTGTATGTAAAATACAATAAAATATTAAAACAGAACATTTAGCCTATTGAAGATTGTATTGCACAATTACTGGTGTCATGTCTTTTTTCTCTTCTTTATGCCCTTTTGAATGGTTGGGACTAACCTGAAATTTATGTAGTAAACATTTACACATATACACTCTTATGAACACAGATACACACTTTATCCTTCACTTTGCTCCTATCAAATTCATTTCAGTGCATTTATCTTATGGGGCTAATGGGAAATTATTTTGCCTCTGATCTCCAATGCTTGTCAACATGGAATATCTAAACATCATCATCTTGGACGACTAAAGACAACTCTAAAGTCTGCTGAAAAAAAAAACGAAAGTTCAAAGCTCTAATCAGTGCTATAAAATGATGCTGTGAGGGTTTTAATTAGGGAGGGAATTCCCACAACCCGTGATTACTTAGGCAATAGGGGAATTGATGCCTTTGAATCCGATGTTTTTTCCGCCAGCAAACAAAGGCATACCATAATAATTCTTTTTTAAAGAAAGTTGAAGATTAGTCAACAAATGCAGACAGGGAAAAGTTCACAACAGGAACAACAACAACAACGCACGGTGAAATCACGGATATGTGAAGCTCTGACAAACTTTCCAGCTGTCAAGTTATCGCGAGAGATGCGCTGGTTGCCGTAGTAACGACGGCCCAGCAGAAACGCTGTGTACAGAGACCGGAGCACACGTCCGCCGAAAGCCTGAAATATTGAATGAATTTATTCATATTAAAGTGAAACGTTTGATTTTATCACGCCACCACAAGCTGGTAAACCAAAGAAAATCATCGAGGGACTCAGGTAAGTTCAATATTCTTAGCAGTGGGCGAAGTTAATGTGCTGAAACGTTATTTTAACGTGGGCTGTCAGCTTAACGTTTGCTGGCTTTAAATTAGACAGTCACAGCAACATTTTGGCTAGCAGGAAAACAAACGTGGAGTTAAAAACAAAACAGTTGCTTTAAGTGTCTTAAGAAGTTGTTCCAGTGAGCCAGCATGCAAAACACCACAACCTAATGTGAAAGTTGTTCCGAAATCATTAATGGGATTTATTGCACTTGCGCTTTTCCTGCTATGACGAGACAAAATGTCTGGCGTAGAAAACGTCACTTCTTGTGTTTGTTGTCTTTACCGTACAGCTGCTTGAACCTTTTAGTTAAGTCACTACTAACTTTAAGTAGTTAAATGTCTCTTTATACTCACTACTTCTTGTTAAATGCTGTTTAAAAAGACGAACGTTGTTTGGCTAACATGAGCATACACGATATCTATATAATTCAGTGTATACTGGCTGGTGGAGTGCATAATGCTGTTTCTGGTCTTTAACGTGAAAAATATCAGTTTCAGCTTGAAACCGACAAAAATATGAACAGCATAAAAACAGTCTTTCCCTTTTTCAGGTGTAGCTTGAAAGGACAATAATCAGACCGTGTTACCAGCTCATAGACACTCCTTTGACTGGTGACTATTAAAGGCCATCTTAAAATGTAGCTTTATTCAAATGATAGATGCCACAGATGACAGAAGAAAGATGAAAATGGCAAGCCCTTCACAAAGAGTGGGACAACGTTCAGTGACCAACACTGACAACTTCATTAACTCAATGTATTGTGTGTAATATTTGAATTACTCAAGTAAATTTAGGGCTTCAAGGTGGCGCAGTTGGTAGCACTGTTGCCTTGCAGCAAGAAGGTTGCCGGTTTGCGTCCCAGTGGGGGCACTAGAATCTTTCTGCGTGGAGTTTGCATGTTCTCCCCGTGCAGCGTGGGTTCTCTCCGGGTTCCTCCCACAAGGTCGAAAAACATGTTGAGGTTAATTGGTGATTCTAAATTGTCCATAGGTGTGAATGTGAGTGTGCTTGGTTGTCTGTCTCCAAGTGTAGCCCTGCGATGGACTGGCGACCTGTCCAGGGTGTCCCCTGCCTTCACCCTAAGTCAGCTGGGTTAGGCTCCAGCCCCCCCGCGACCCCAGTGAGGATTAAGCAGTATATAGATAATGGATGGATGGAAGTAAATTTACATCAAGAAATACTGCTGAAGGGTCTTAATCTTAATAATTAAACTTGTGTGGTAAACACCAGTCTAATTTCTCTACTGCACAGCACTTTGGCTCAAAGACAGTTTTAAATTTGCTGTATAAATAATGGTGACTTGACTAAAATTAATAGAAATGTGACAAATTATGATCTAGGCAAAGTAAAGCCAACCCACATTCTTTCTATGCGTAGCCCATGATCAACATTGCAACCACAATGAGAGCAGAAACTGTGTTCCTTGAAATTAGTAGAATTTTTGATGATTTACACAGCTATAACCATATGTAAAGGTGTATCTTAGAAAAATGTATTTTCATAAGCCTTGTGAAAAAAAAGCTTGAGAATGACTGAGCTCGATTAGTTTGGCAGCTAAAGAGCTTTCTTCTTTACCAACCTGAACGTGAGTAGAAGTAGCAGTGTCACTGTCGTGTCCTGACTCATCTGCTGCTACAGCAACATGAGATGACTCTGCATTCACCTACCCTTGGCACACCTGTGCCTCGTTGCCTTCATTTCTTTTTGAAAGCGCTTCTTATATCCAAGGTTTTCCACTTGCCTTAGTGAATACAGCCACCAGATTCCATCAATGACAAGCCCCGTAACTGGTGTGCTCTCTCACATGTGGTTACACAAAAATGCACAATTGGCAAGTAGCATGAAGTGAATCTGTTGCTTGAATGACGCACAAAGAACCTAAAACGTAGGCTCCTTGTGATTTTGATGAACCATTTAATAACATTTTCCAGTTCTTGAATGCATGATTGAAGTAAAAGATGAATTGATCTGGGGCTATTCTTCATTGTTCATATTTCTGTAAAAAAAAACAAAAAAAACAGGACTAATTATACGCCATTTGGGACTGTAATGCTCGGGTTACCCAGCCTAACAACACCACTGCTGGTAAAGCTTCCATGGGCACTTAAATTTGACTAAGCCATCAGTTATGCTATTACTTTCACCTGTGCTTTTCCTAAAATGTGTTCTTGTAGAAAAGTCTGTCATCATGCAAGCTGAGTTTTCATTAAGATTCTGATTTTAATCTGTGGTAGATTGTACACTTGTGGTTTTACAATCTGGTTGGCAAATGTTTCATATGGCTACTTTAACCAGTGGAGTTCCCTGGCCTTTCCAGCTTGAAAAAGAACTTCCAATGGCTCATTCACCTCCACCTAACGCACTTTGCTACCAGCTCAGTTGCTATTATTATATCTGCCTCACTGGCTAGTTTTCTTAATTGGCTTTTACTGCCTAGAAACCATTCATCATCCATACAAGTCTGTCAGATACAATTTAAACACACAGGATTGCTTGTTTTAACTTCCTCTTATTCACTAGAGTAAATGTGTTCCTGCTATTTTGTTCATTTCACTGCAGCAGTATTCATTTATGGCTGTGTGTGATTTAGCCTGGGCGCTGCATGATATCCAGTTTTATGCCATTACTGTGGGTTTTTATTGCAGAAGAGGCTCTTTGTAAAAAAGCAGAGCGAAAGACATGGGAGGAATACCTGAGCCACCGGGAAGAAGAGACATGAATTTAAATGACTTTGTGGTGCTTCCTAACAACAAGGCCAAATCTGTCAAGCTCAATGCCAGGTAAGATGAGATAAGATCAATGATGTGATTTAAGGCATTTGGTAGAAGCCCATTAGGGTTACTTGGCTGCCATACTATTTCCATCTGTACCTATTGAAATTCTATTCAGAGAATGGCTATTTCACAAAATGGACTTTAAGGCAAGATAACCCTTGCCTGAAAATTGACTTGACTTGACTTGTGAGCTTGATTCCACTGTTTCAGTGCAGTCTATTTATTTTCTTCATGATACCCAATGCGAAATTTAGTCCAGTCTCCCACTGTAGTTTCTCATTTGCCAACAGGTAATTGACTGAATTGATGCCTGGCTTGGTGGTACCCTGATCCAGTTACTAATTGATTAAAGTATTGATTAGTCATAGCAACAAGGATCTGCGGGTGCAGAGGATGAATTGAACATATTGATGAAAGCCTGGCTGGCCAATCTGACGAAGTAGGTCATTTGTATGATTGATTGTTGTTGATTGACTGCATATATGTGCGTGTGTTTATGTTGCCATAGGAACCTGCAAAAACTGCAAATGGAGACTGTGACCCTGTCTAATGAGAGTAAAGAGATGGAGGAGAAACTGCGACAACTGAAAGACAGCATGAGCAAAGAGAAGGAAGAGAGAGGGTGAGTATGAGGTGTTACAGTTAATGTCCTAGAGAAGAAGGACAGTGGCTGGTGAGAGGTGGAGAGAAGGGAATAGGGGGAAATTTAAAGTGGGAAGGTGAGAATGAAAGTAAGACACCAGAAAGCAACAGAGAGTAAGAGAGGAGGAGGACGGAAGATAGGACAGTGAATAAGTACAGTATGTGCAGGATGGGCTGTAACAAAGAACTTGAAGGGAGAGATTCCTGTTTCTGAATCAAGTTTCAGCTTTGGTACATCTAGTTCTTTTTGTCTTGCTGCACTTGAATCATCTGATTTTATATTGTAAACTCAAGGCTGTAAGGATGGAGGTGTTCATCTAGCAGTCTCTTTGACTGTCCCACAGTTTGACCCATTGCAAGTGTCACCACATGCCTGATTATCATTCAAATTAAGTGCTACAAGATACATAGTGCTAGATTAAGCGTGTTCCAATATTACAATTCCATCATTACTAAGATTAACACCTTCACGCAACCCTAGATTTTGTAATATTATAACTCTGAGTAATAAGCAGAATCTCTTAAAATGTCTTTATAAGTGGCTGTATTGTGGTGTGTGGCTGAGGTGTGTTACTATGAAAAGTTGGTTTCTTTGGCTTTCATGTAATATGTTCAGTTGATTTTAATACTTTTCAATTGATTTTTTTTCTCCAAACCCTGAAGCTATATTGGTTTTTTTCTGTCTTTACAATGAAAACATCACTTTCTCCGTTCATATGAGGAGATATGGACAAAAACAGGAGGAGGCCAAACAGGGAGGAGGGGGTGTGAGCAGATAGCCAAATGTTTAGACCTCATACCACGTGTGCAAAAATGTCTCCACTCCGACTCCTATCTGGCAGGACCTTGACTGCACGTCAACCCCCTGCTCCTTTCCCCACATTTTCTGTCTATCTTCACTGTCACTATCCATTAAAGGCAAAAATACCTAAAAATAATCTTTAAAAAAAACAAAAAAAAACAGAACAGTAAGCAATACAATGAAAAAGAGGACTGCTGAGATAAAGTCTGTACAAGCAAGAGAGGATGAAGAATGAACATAGTGACTTGAGAAACATGGGGAACAAAACAAGTGTTTAATGGAGAGACATGATGCATTGTGGGAGGCTGAGAAGGTGGGAAAAACTGCAACAGCTGTAAAAGAGCAAGCAACGTAGAAAGTGGAGACACTGAGTAATAGAGACAGATGGAGGAGGATACCAAGTGAGAGAGGGGGGAGGTCAGTGACTTCTCTACCTATAAAGGTCAGGAAAAGGTTGCTATGGAAGGAATAAAGGAGCAGTCAGAGACCTGAAAAAGCCACTCATATATGATGTAGGTCCATGCCCATGTAGTGGACCATTCTAAAGGTCAGTGGAGCAAGAACTTGTGTGCAACTGTACTTCCTTTCACTGAACTGGGTGGCTGACATTCCCAACATGAGACGTTGTACACAGAGGGCATAAGAATGAGCAACAGGAAAAGGACTTAAAGAATAGCTTTTAATGTTAAAATTGGCTTTAAAAGGTTGTAGAATTACTATCACATGACCAGTTACTTCATGTTTTTTGTTCTTTGTTTTTTTTTTCTTATTTATTTGAATCATACATTAACATTCACAGTTCTTTAACGTAATTGCAGGTGTACTAAATCTTTTCAAATTTTCGTGGTAAAATATGTGCTTTTTCTAAATACTTGTCTATTTTTTGTATTTTGACAGGCTAAGGCAATGGTAAAGACATGTTTTAGACAAGTCCCTGATAACTGTGAGAAGTACTGTAACTTTCAGTATCTTTAAAAGTTTTAGTGCAGCACAGATATGTGTGCTGTTCCAGAGGCTTGTGAAAATCACTCTTCAAAACAGATGAACCGTATGTTATTCTCATGATACAGTTCAGTGAGCATTCAGATTGCAAGCAGCTGTCCTTCCGTCAGAAATTGTTGTAAATTACAGTCTGTCATCGAAAAGAAAAAAACAAAACAAGAGGTGCTCTTTTGACAAATAATACAATGCTACCATTATTTATGGATTAGAAGTCAATGTTTTCTTTGTTGTTTTGCACCTACAGGGTTAAACAAATAATTTAAACTATAAGCCTTTTTTCCCCCCAAATCCTGTTTAGTATATTTCACAGTTTTCTTTTTTCTTTTTGCATATTTACCACAGACCTTTGTAGTCTCCCAGTCTTGGCTAAACATGCCGAGGAACATTGTGTGATCTCCTTTTTTTTGAGTTGAACCTTAAATGTTTTCCTTCTATCACAGGTCAAGGATGCAGGTAATAAAATTGACTAGTCACTGTGGAAATTGACCATAAGCAATTGAAACAAACTTCTCTGCTGGTTGCCAGTTCTCTGTCCAAGTTCCCACTGGTGAATTTAAAAATGATAGGTGTCATTGTGACAAAACAGTTTTGTCTGTTCTGCTTGTCTATCCTGTTTTGACAATAAACAGTGGGTCATACAAAAGATGATAAACAGCTTCTAAAAGTGGTTGTAAATATGTGTCAGTGACGTACTGGGCCACGTCTGCGGTGACTGATTCATGGCATCAGGCATGAATTAATTATATGGAAAATGCTGGCACACTGAGAGGCGGCATCAACGTACTCACACTCTGAAGTTCCCATCACTTCAGAGGACAGTGTATTGACTTACACTCACTTCCTTGTTATTTACATTTATCCAAATCTCAGTTTAGCCTAAACTTAGCCTAAACCTAACCATATGCCATATATAAGTGTTCATGCTTAAATTTAACTATTTGCATCATGGGGACTCGTTTTTGTCCCTACATGGGAGGCGGGTCCCCACAATGGGACTCTACAAAGATTTATGTCTCCACAATATGAGTAATACCAGGAAACACAACACACATGCATACACACTATATATGTCTTCTAATTTTGTCTACATTTTGCAATAAAAATTTTGATTGTACATTAGTGTTCATACCATGTTAAAATAGAGTGCAACAGTGTACGCATAATGAACAGAGATGTATGCCACAAAAAACAGTACTGACCCATTACTGTTTTATATGCTAGTGTCTGTGTGAATGACTATTAAAAATACTAAACATCTTACATGCATATCTTCACATTATTTAAAATGGATTAGATAGCTCATTCAATTACACAGACACAGAAAGTAGTATTTCTTTTCCTATTTCATTACAGAATATGTACCTGGCCCAATAATATGACTATTATCCAACAAATTCAGATTTAGGGGCATTCTAGCTTACGTGAGCAGGAAATTAATGTGCAGAATGAAAACAAACACTGGTTATTAATGAGACTGTTTTATTCTCTGCTCCCAGTTCACCGCATTTCATTCATTTCATTAATAACTCGGAGATGTATTGGCCGTGTGAAGTTATGGAAAACATACCATTATGTACATCACAATATATAAGCATATAACTCAGGGATAGCTTTAAGGAGAGGCAAGGTCTTTATTTTATACACTGACTCCTTCAAATAATAAATGCCAGAAGCGTATACATGCACGCAAATATACATTTAAAGGCCAACCCAGCCATCTACAAGATCAGTTATTGAGAGTTATGATGTAAGACAATGTTTTCATGTGATGAATTTATCTTGTTTCATATCACACAATACATCATCAGCTTGATATGCAGCATATTCATCATTTAAGGAAACGTGTTGTTTGTGTTTATGTCCTTGTATATGAGTAGGCTCCTCCTTAGTTTTTTCAGTGGAGCTCTAATTAAGAAGCCATATATTAGTATGGGAAGAGGGCCATCTAGTCCAGGCTGCACAAATGATAAGCACATAAACACAGTGTTTTCTGTCACACTGAAATACTGCAACATTTATTGCTCCACTGGGCCCAAGATATGACAAGATGTGTACCCGGCTGCCTGTGTGTATTTTTGATACCGGCCCTCCATAAATAATGGTATTTGTATTTGTGTGTACGTGTGTTTTTAACACTGTAAATTACAGAGTGTACTACTATTTTAATTTCTTGTTTTTAGTTCTCTATGATTTGTGTACTTTAATCAGTAAAGATGTATTCAAGTCTGCTACAGGAATCCTGTTCAAGCTCTGTGTCTTTGAAATATTGCAGTATACTCCACAGCTAGTTTGAGAAAGATTTTATATTTGTGTATGCACAAGCTTGAAAGAGGCAAAAATATATAGCAAGAGTTTGTGTATGTGTGAGAGGAAGTGTGTGAAGGTAGGAGAAAGACTCAGCTGGCCCAACTAAAAAGTCTAAACAGATGAAATAGTGTGCTTTGTGTGATGGCTGAGAGGTGTCTGGTAACAGAGAAAATAATATTTAGAAATATTTTCACTGTCCTGTTTAGAAAATAAATTGGGCAACCTTTCCTTATAGACATGCCATTGCTGATTAGTAATGGTTTGCTAGCTTGTTTTCATGTGCAGTGGTGTCACTAATCAGTCTTCTCTGTGCAGAGCGCAAAGTAGAACATTTTAACACCTTTCACATTTGGGAACAGATGAAGGAGAGGCAGGGACTCTGTCACTCACAGCATGTCCTCCGTGTCACTTGTGATGGCTGAGAAAATTAACTGTGCTACCTGTACTGCCTTTCAAGTTTAATGTATTGTATGACTGCCATATATTAATTTATCCCGTTTGTGTTGTGTATTTTCTGCCTGTTGGTCAGCATTTCTCATAGGACAGTGCACACAGTGAACAGAATAGGACGGAAAGCAGAAGAACAATTTTTGAGGAGTTTGTGAAAACACATGAACACAGACTGAAGAGGAGCAGTCATGGAGTAAATTACAATATTAGCTACTCAAATATGACTGTTTCCACATTAATATAGCTACATTCCCCGCCTACTTTTAGCCCAAAAGCTGTGTGTAGTGATGCTGCAGTGTTTTTAGATGTGGAACCGAACTTAACAGTTTGAACTAATTATTTTTTACACCTCTAATGACAGAGATGAAACTGTTTCTCATTTGTTCCTATCTGACTGATGTGGCAAAAAGCAGACAAAG